TCTTGAGCATTCTTCTCCCCTTATCGCACAGGTGCCTGACTCATCAAGAGCGCTCAGCACATACACAATGACTGAGAGAGAGATGGTTACAGGCATGGGAAAAGAGACTATAGTTCACCTGAAGCCTTTTAAGTCTTTTCCAGGCACACAAAGCACTATATCCCCTTTTAAGGTAGATTTTATGTGGTTTCAGAAAGGGAAAAAGAGTCAAATATAACCATGTATCGTTACAATTACATCATCCGACCGTCATAAATAAGCTGACAACAACAGCCAATGCCTAGTGACCACCTGCACACTGATAAGCCAGTCACCACCCTGCGAATTCACCGTGCTGCTCACTAAATTTTGCCTTCTTATTTCTCACACAGTATCCTCCAGGGCTGCGGGTGACGCTCAGAACATTTGTGATCTCAAATCTCAGTTTCAAGAATACCCTAGACATTAAATACAGACCGTGACTGTTCATTTTCCATGACAAATACATGGTGAACAAGTACAGAAACCAGAGCTCAGGCCTACTAAAAGCAAATGTGCTGCTGGGATTTTTAGGCTGCTGACTCCATCAGTGTGCCTCAGCTGTTTAGTTGCACCTTTCTCCCCCAACTCTCCTTAGCACTTTCAATGGCCTCGCTCTCACGAGTCTTCAGAATTGGTCCCTGTGTTCTCTCCCACCCAACACTCCTCCCTCCCTTCACTAGCTAACTCCTCTTTAGTTTCCAACTCTTTGCTTAGCTATCCCTTCTTCCAGGGATGGGAGCACACATCCGCATCCCTGACCACATACCTCCATGCCCCTAGCACCCTATACTTACCCCTGTAACAGTACTTAGCACAAAATATCTTAACTGCTGGTTCACATATGTCTGTGACTGACTGAGCTCCTTGAAGGGGACTGATTTGTTCACAACAGCACCTCTGGGGTCTACTATAGCACCTGGACTCAGAGCAGGCTTTCAACAAACGTTTGCTGAGAGATGAATGAACCAACTAGTATACTTTCTCAAATATGTGCAACTGAGCAATTACATGGTGACAGACACACACAAAAATGAATGAAGCTGTAAAATCACCACGTTTCTTATCTTCAGATGGACTCTTGTGCCAGTTTTGGAGCCAGCGTAGGAGTTTGTTGGCACAGCTCTGGTCACCTTGCTGTCCGATTATGGTCTTGAGTGAGGTTGGCTTATATTTATCCACCCAGAGCAAATTTTCCACTTTGTTTTCACTGCAGTCATCAGCCAAATTCCTAGCCCGGCTGTCCACATTTGTCTCCTCAGCCACCTGCTCCTCGAAGTCCAGGGATCTCCAAATCGCACTTGTTTCCTTTTTTATTGACTTCATAGAGCTGCCCCTTTTGGGAGTCAGTCTGCTTTTTTTAGATTCTGATTCCTTCTTAGTTGGGCTAATTTTTCTTTTTCCTTGGTCATTTTTTTGGGGTGTTCTTTCCAATTTGCACTTTTCTTTCTTCATCTTAAAAATTGGGAAAGTGAGGAAAAAAGAAACCTGATAAGATATGCAGAATATCTATCCTGCTAAATGTACTTTACAGGGCAATCTGGGATATCCAAGTGAGCTACCCAACCTGGGCCTGGTTTTTCACCATGAACCCTGCTGTTGTGGAAATCACCACCTTCCAAACTTTAGCAAAATTAACAACACATACACCAAAAAGCACCCAAGTGCAAATTTTTAAGTGAGAACATATTAGTTTGCAAATAGTAAGTATTCCAAAATCAGTCTGAAATCCAAGGTGAAGGATTAAGAAATTTTTGTACCAGTTTTCTGACCAGTTAAAAGTTAACGCCTCCACAAAAACCTGTACACTAATATTCACAGCAGCCATTTATGTAATTATATATTATATATTAATTAATTATATAATTATGTTATTATTACAGCCAAAAAATAGAAACCCAAAATGGCCAACAACTGATGAATGAATAAACAAAATGTGGTATATCCACACAATGTAATATTAATCACCACAAAAAAGGGAGTAAAGTCTTGACACATGCACTTCAATGCAGCTGAACCTTAAAAACATACTGAGTGAAGACGTCAGAAACAAAAGGCCACAAATTGCATGCTTCCCTTTATATAAAATGTCCAGAATACGAAAATCCATGGAAACAAAAAATTGAATAGTGGACACGGGGCTTCTTTTTGGAACAATGAAAATGTTCTAAAATTAGATACTGGTGATGGTTGTACAATCTTGTGAGTATACTAAAAATCTGACATACATTTTATTTATTTATTTATTTTTTTAAAGTTTTTTTTTTCAACGTTTATTTATTTTTGGGACAGAGAGAGACAGAGCATGAACGGGAGAGGGGCAGAGAGAGAGGGAGACTCAGAATCGGAAACAGGCTCCAGGCTCTGAGCCATCAGCCCAGAGCCTGACGCGGGGCTCGAACTCACGGACCGCGAGATCGTGACCTGGCTGAAGTCAGACGCTTAACCGATTGCGCCACCCAGGCGCCCCTCTGACATACATTTTAAAAGGGTGAATTTTATGATGTGAAGGTCTCAAAAACAAGAAAAATAGTGCCTCTTTGCCAGTAACTGGATGCTGAAATTAGGAGGTAAACGTTTGAAGAGAAACAGGATATTATCCAAGTATTAAAGTTCTCTCCAAGATATTTTCCAAAGGGAAAAAGTCACTTTACTAGCGGAGATACCTGTCAGAAACCACCTTAACCAAGGTTAACAGCATCAATAATAAGACATATTGACATCTGCATCTAATACGATGCACTGAGAAGGACAAAATATCACTTCTGCAGTATTCCTGCCAAAAAATGCATAACCTCAATCTAATCAAAAGACATCAGAAAACCCAAACTGAGAGACATTCTACAAAACAACTAACTAGTACTCATTAAAAGTCTCAAGGCCACAAAAAGGCAAGGAAAAGGCTGAGGAACTGTCACAGATTGGAGGTGATGAAGACACCCCAACAAAATGCAGTATGGGATCCTAGAATAGAAAAAGGACAATTGAGGGAAAACGTGAAGTCTGAATAACACACGTACTCTTAGTTAACACTATGGTATCACTGTTAATTTCCTGGCTTTGATAACTTCTATGGTTATGTAAGTTGATAACATCAGGGGACACTGGGTGAAGGGCCAATCCAAATCATTTCCCATGACTGTTCTAACTGGAGTAAGTGGGAAGACAACCTCACTACCTGGGTGACAGAGCTGAGGACATTAAACCTGGACTTCTGGTACCTTTGCATCCTATACATGGAAAAGACCTGAACAGAGTGGAAATGAATGAAGATAATACTGGGAGAAGCAGAGAAGAAAACTGAAAGAGTTCTAAAAGCACTGTGGTCTCCAGATCCATAGTTCCGACATCAGACCCAGCCAGCCCATAATTTAGTTATGTGAGCCAACATGTTTTTCCTTTTTGCTAAAACTAATATGGGCTTCTGTCACAAATGAAAAAGTGCTAATAAGTTCTAAATGAAAATGAACTTAAAGTGCTGATACATATAACATATCCCTTAATGAACTCTTAAAAGCATTAAACATTTGCACAAAGTCACTGAAAGAATATGGAAAATATGGAAAGTTTAGTTAAGCAGATATGGTTAAGTGCAATACACTGCTCTCACTCTCCTTATATTTCTTTAAGGAAAGGTAAGAGGTGCCTGGGTGGCTCGGACAGTTAAGCATCCTACTCTTGATTTCAGCTCAGGTCATGATCTCATGGTTCATGGGATCAAGCCCCAATCGGGCTCCATGCTGACAGTGTGGGGCCTGCTTGGGATTCTCTCTCTCCCCTTCTCTCCGCCCCTCCACAGCTCGTGCTGGTGTGCACGGACACTCTCTCTCTCTCTCTCTCAAAATAAATAAACATTCAAAGGGATGGAGGGAGGGAGGGAGGGAGGGAAAGAAGGAGGAAAGGAAATACACCAAAGAAGAGAGCCTAAAGCAGAATCCCTGCTCAGAAGGAAATAAGGTAGGTTCATCTGTGGTAGAGGGCAAAGTTAATCTTTTCGGCAACAGGCCTGTAGCCACTCACAAAATGTCTCTATGAAATAGGAAAATTGTTAAACGAACCAACTTAAATAAATCAAGTTCATTTTATACAAACCTCAGCTTCAACTGCAATTTCATACTTGGACTTCTTGCCTGGCATAGTTCGAATCAGATTCAATAGGCCATCTTCATCAATAATATTTGTCCCCAAAGCTGCTGCCTATTGATTAAAAATACAAATCATTAAAACTGTATCCTAACCATTACTTTCTGTTAAAGAAAAAATGATTCTAGGATCTGCTCATAGGTGAAAAACTACATTTATAAATAAGAAAAACTGGAATATTTTTTAAAAACATATTCATGAAAAAGTACCATGAAAAAGAGAAAATAACAGACACATCCCCTAAGAGTGATAGGTTGGCAATGGAGGTGACGCAGTACCCCTTTTTGGACTGCTTTACCTTTCCTTCTACCTAGGAAGGGCAAAGCCACTAGGGCCTCCCAGGATGGGCTTGTCCAAAGTCTGTTTTTCCCCCAATCTTCCCTATTTAAAAAACTCTGATGTGTCCATCTCCAAGTGATGAATTATGATTGAAGAATCAGAAAAGTCCTCATCCTCTGCAAACTCCCTTATAAGCTAATAATAGCCATGTGACAGCTCTGGCCAATGAGACCTAGAGGGAATTCTACAAGAGGTGCTTAGGGGAAACTCTTATAAGGCCAATCGCAGTTAGGGCAACATCTTGCCACTGCTCCCTTTTTCCTGACTTAAACGTGGACTTGAATGCCTAGAGGTACAGCTTCTTTGCAACACATGGCAACATCGCAAAGACTAAAGCTAACACAGTAAGTAAGGATGACAGAGGTGGAGAAAGGAACTAGTGTAGCTATATCACTGAGCTGCTGGACCATCCCCAGCAAGCACCTACCTCTAGGATTCTTGTTAGGTAAAGAAATGAACAGCCATTTGTCAAAACCACACTTATCAGGTATAATTCCTTTGAGCTAAATATAGTTTTCCCCAACACAGAAAGAGTTTTCAATAAACAAAACTTAAGATGGAGTGTACAGTGGCATATATAGGAATATTTAGGACTAAAAGAAAAAGAAAACTGTATTTGCTTCTATCTTTGAAAAAAGATCTAAACTAGAATACTACACTAAGAAAATCAACTACACAGGAACTGTGCCTTTGGAAAACCAAAATCCTGAAGTTGAAGCCAAGAACACTTCTTGGAGAAGAAATAATGTAGGGATGAAATTACTTTTACATTTTTTTTCTTTATTTAACTCTGTGTAGAAAGGGCACTACTACAAATGGTCACAGTGAGAGCCTGCCAATGGAAGCAGGCTATTTGCCTGTGTTGAGAAGACGGCAGTACCCACCTTATCACTCTTGGACTGTCCACTATCACGACCCATGACAAGGTAGTTTGTTTTCTTACTGACATTTCCTGTTACTTTTCCCCCGTAACGCTCAATTAAAGACTTGGCCTCATCTCGTTCAATGGACTCCAGCACTCCTGTGATTACAAATGTAAGGCCTTCCAAGCAATTTTCAGCTCCCTAAAAACCAAAATATTCAAGCAGAGAGGAAATTACATGGTAGCCTTCCAAAGAAATATTTGGCATCAAAACTGCAGGAAGTTGATTTTTCTCATTTGACATCATAAATAATCTCAGCATGAAAAATTTGCAGGAAATTCGCAGCAAATAAGCAGAACCTGAAATTAAATCCTGAGAAACTCTTAGGTAGGCTAGCATTTAATAAACTTACAAAACAAGCCATGAAAAATATACATCCAATACAGTTAGCAAAGCTTATTAAAATTATCCATTCATACTACTCTCATGGTTTTCTAAATATTTAAACCACTAGTTTACTTGCAAAACCTCAAGTAAACAACTAGATGCAATCCACCTATAGAATTTATTATTGTTAAGAAAGGAAAGATTGGATTCTTAAAAGTTAAACAAGTTTGAGCTCCTTCTCTCCTGTTTACTGTACAATAGTAAATCTAACAGCCTGCAATTAACTTAAAGGCAAGATCATATGATCTCTTGATTAGAAAGATAACTTGATATACAAAAGACACTGGCCAAAGAGAACTGGGAGGAGGAGACATTTAGTCTTAACTGGAACTATCTATAGTTAATAGACTTTTTAAATTTTTTGTAATGGTTCAATAAAATGATACAACCAAGCAAAATGAAAATTATGTAAACGATTCTAAGTTACTCATTACCCTTTGAATAGAGAATTGAGATCAACATAGACTTAAAACATGCCTAAAAGAAAGATGCTAAACAAAATTCAACGACTACCAAATACAAGTTCAATCCTTCACTATCCTGATGAAGAATCTTTGGAGGGTGGCAGGGGAAGAGCTATGAATCTTCTTGGAGAGAAAAGGTCTGATTAACAACATCTCCAGGTCTCTTCAAGCCCTATCTATGATTCTAGGATTAAAATCATCTTGCGAACACTAAAGTATTTAAATTCTTTTCAATAAATTCAAAATGACCCTAGTGAAGTCCACATGTAAGCCCCTAACCCACACCACAATCACCTATCCTGTGGCTCTGAATATACTATCACTTAGCCAAACTTAGCACTTCTAGCCTCCCAACCAACCTCTTACACTCTAGAACACTTACTGCGGGACCAGCAAGCTGCCCAATATCCTCAACCACTACTCCAATATCCCTCCACCACCTTGCCTTGACAGAGTCCCCTAAGGACTCCACTTTGACTAAAGTCCTCTCAAGCAGAGTTTTGCTTAAAGTCTTTCTCATACCACATGCAGGAGGCAAGGTTGACGTCTTCCTCTATCCTCTTACACAACCCACCAGCCCCTGAAAGTTTACCCTCTCCTCTTCTTTATTAGTGGAACTATTAATCCCCATTTGTGATCTGAATCCCCTCCCGTTCTACCTTCTCAGAAATCTCACACTACATTTGATTATCCTTCTCTTTCTGGTATAGGTTCCCTCACTCCCTTTCTGGTGGCTCCATATTATCAGTGAAAAACATTAGTCTTGTGAGTACCATATTCCTCAAAACTCAGCCCCTGTAGGTTTATGGGTTACTTAAAGGAAAACTTTTCTAAGTAGTATCAAGCAGTAGTTCATAATGTGAATAAATATACCTAATTCACAATGATGGTGACTAAGGCTTTTCTGTTAATTTTTTTTTTAAGATATTTTTTAAGTAATCTCTACATGTAATGTGGGGCTCAAGCTCCACAACCCTGAGACCAAGAGTCACACGGTCTACCAGCTGAGCCAGCCAGGCGCTCCTCTGTTAATTTTTAATTATCAGTTTTCTGCTGCTGTAAAAATACTGAATACGTGCATGGACCCATGGGCCAGAGGCCCTGACGGAAAGGCATGCCCTCTCAGAACTCACCTTTGGTATTTCTTTGGAGCCCAAAGCTTTGGGACCTTCTCGATTTAAGTAGCTTCGATAAGCTTGATAATTAGTGCGTCTCTTTTCAGAATCTTCAGGACTTATAGACTTCAGGAAGGAGGGGAAAAAAACTGAATAAAGTCATGCAACATTCAGATGAAATAAGTATGTATCCACAAACATATGTATCAATAAGTACACATTAAGTCACTTCTGTGTTTGGTCCCGAGATGAACATTTTTGGCTACACAGGTACTCCCCACTTAGACACGCCTGGCTTATAAGCATCCCTGCATCAGCTCTTCTTAAACCTTTTGATGCTCTAGAGGAACATACCACGAGTGCAGATTAGGTACACAAGCCAAGTTGCTAGCCCCAAGCAAAGAAACAAAAAAAGATGGACTTTATTTCAAAAATTCACGAGTTTCGAGTTCTTTTCCATCATATAGCCATGCATATTTTAATATAAAAACTAATTTTTCCCCAAGTACACTTCATCACACAAGAAGATATCCCATGTTTATCCTGTAGCTTTGCACACCCCTAAAACAGCCTAAATGGTCCTATACCTCTGAGTTTATGAGCACTACAGGCTGAGCATTGACGGCCTCATAATACCCAGCTGGTTCAAACAACAGGCAAGCTTTACTCCAAAAATTTGACACATTCTATACACCTCCACTCTCCCTTCCAGGTTTAATCTCTCCCATTCTGTTCTCTCAGGAGATCTTACTGTAGGTCTATCTCATAAAATCCTAGGGAAACTTTTCAAACTATATATCCCTAGATATACTCCAAGTTTGGCTTGGGGTATGACTGGGGCATGTGTATTTGGGGGGAAAACATCCTAGATAATTCTGACTTGAGAACCACTTCAAAAATGGTTTCATGCTTTTTCCACTTCCTATTTTACATTTTTTTAACTAAAAGACATCTCAAATCCCTTTGAGAATAGACCAAATATTTCTATGCAAATAAATGATTTTAATCAATAAAATAAGTTGCTTTGGTTGTAAGTTAAGTAAGCCATTAGAGGCTGGTCCTAGACTCTAACCCTACTTTTTAACAGCGGTTCTTAAAAACTGGTGTGCATTTATATCCATCTTAGGAGCTTATTAAAATACACTTGCCCAGACCACCAAACCATATTTTTAACAAGCTTCACAGGAGAGTCCAATGCATACCAAAATGGGAAAATTATTCATTTATAACATTAATTCTACGAAAAACGCAATTCTGAATTATACACAACTTTATAAAGTAACTGTGAAGCAGTCATTTATGAAGTTGAAATTATCTGACCAAGGTAGACTGAATTTATTAAACTCTCTGATATTCCCAAAGCTGCTAACATAAAATTTCTGAGTCATGCTATTCCAACTTTGAAAAGTAAGGTGAAGAGTAGCAATACCAAAGATTTCTTCTCCTTTAATAAAAATAGACCAATCTCTATAAAATGAACATGTTTAGTATGCCTGAAGAAAAACATTCATCCACCAGATAAGTATTTAAGTTTAGTAAAGAAAAATCAGAGACCAAAATGTTAATTGCTCCCTTAAGCATATTTACAAGCACTGACCACAAACAAAAGCATCTAGAAATCACCATTTCACTGTTCTACACTAAAAAATAATGGTGATGAGCAGTTAAAATATACAATATTCTGCTTTTAATTCTAAGTACCTAAGAGGCTTGAAGGAATAGTGGTTTCTCATTATGAATCTAAGGTGGTTCCAAATTACAGATTCTAAGAAACCATTCAATTCTCAAATATATATGAAAACAAAAGACAGGGGCGCCTGGGTGGCGCAGTCGGTTAAGCGTCCGACTTCAGCCAGGTCACGATCTCGCGGTCCGTGAGTTCGAGCCCCGCGTCGGGCTCTGGGCTGGTGGCTCGGAGCCTGGAGCCTGTTTCCGATTCTGTGTCTCCCTCTCTCTCTGCCCCTCCCCCGTTCATGCTCTGTCTCTCTCTGTCCCAAAAAAAATAAATAAAAACGTTGAAAAAAAAAAATTTAAAAAAAAAAAAAAAAAAAAGACAATTTTTGAAAACCATTTTGCATTATTTCATTGTTTTTTTGCCTTTGCAAATGAATTCACTATCTCAACACTGTTATACAAGAGCAAAAAGGAGTACACTCAGGGCAAATCCCAATTATTTTAATAATAATAGCAAAAACAGCACTTATGTACTAAGCACGGTTCCAAGTGGTTTTATATATTAAGTCAGGTACTATTATTATCCCTATTTTACAAATGAGGAAAGAAAGAAGAGAGAGAGGAAATAACCAGACCAAGGTGACACATCTGCTCAATGGCAGAGCTGTATGATCTGAAAATGGCTCCAGAGTCCATTCTGAGAGCCACTATGTTGTTATACTGTTTTTGTTTTTGTTTTTGTTTTGCCTCAGAGGACCTGAGTTTAAAGCTGGCTCTGCTGCTTACTAGTTGAATGATCTTGGAAAAGTTACTTAATTCTTTCATCAGCCTGTTTCCTCATCATTAAAAACTGAATAATAAGGGGCGCCTGGGTGGCGCAGTCGGTTGAGCGTCCGACTTCAGCCAGGTCACGATCTCGCGGTCCGTGAGTTCGAGCCCCACGTCAGGCTCTGGGCTGGTGGCTCGGAGCCTGGAGCCTGTTTCCGATTCTGTGTCTCCCTCTCTCTCTGCCCCTCCCCCGTTCATGCTCTGTCTCTCTCTGTCCGAAAAATAAATAAATGTTGAAAAAAAAAAAAACTGAATAATAAAAGTAATTAGGGTTGTTGTGAAGATTACCTGAGATACCATATGTATTAGTGTAATATCTAATACACTTTAACACTCAATATTGGCTAATTTAGCTGTATTAATAAGCTATATTCTGCAATAGCATCTAAGTAAGATATCTTAAACATATTAAACGACTTAAAAAGCTAAAAATAAGACTTGAAAACAGTCGAACCCAGACCAACACATAGCCCCCAAATGATATACTTTTAGAAAATTTCTACCTCTTTTTTAGCTGGAGAACTTTTGGATTTCTTAGGAGTTTTTGTCTGTCCTTTCAATTCAATGGCATTTTCTTTTCTTTTTGAAGCCATAGGCTCTGTTTCTTTATAAGAACTCTCTCCTTTTTTTTTCAAAAGGGCCAACTTGGAACTGGCTTTTGGAGAAGTTTCCCCTATTTTGTGAGGTGAGGACTTCAAATGTTGCTGAGATCCTTTCAAACTTTCACATTTACTTTGCTTCTTAGGACTACAGTTCTTTCTGTCATCTGAAAATTGTTCTGTTTTTGCTAGAAAGAAAGCAAAGATTATGACTTTTGTTTTTGGGAAAATGACACCCAAATCAGGATTTTTTTTCATTTTTCAACTCAATAATATTAGCACACAATGTCATATGGTGATTTCATAACATTTACATTAAGAATTTAGTTCTTTATACAAAGTATTTATTTTTAAAAGTTTAACATTTGTACATTTTTATATAAACAATTCAAATTAAAGGATCTGTCTGTCCTTTTAAATATAAATGACTCTACTTCAAATGATATGGTTAAACTACATCGAAGGACATGCCCTTTATTCCACAGATAAACTTCAATGATCTGAAATTTACACAGAATTTCAGAGTAGAAATGTCACATGAAAATTCTGTGTTTGTAACATAGTCTGAAAGCCCCAAATCCTGTGATTTCAAGACTAAAAGGCACTATATGAATGAATTTACTTATAGGATTAAGACCATCTATACTAGCAGACAGATTATCAACTTGAAACATCTAGTTCTTTGCCATCAGATACTGAAGTCCACATGTTGCACGTCACTTGGAAATTAACATTAATGTGAAACTAAGAACTGAAATACATCTTTTACAACAATCATAGAATAGACATTTAATACCAGCTAATATCCAAATAGCTTTAAAGTATCTAAGAAGAACATGTTTCAATAGTCCTATGAAATAATGTCTACCTAACAATACAAGGCAATTATTGAATAGAACGTTTAAACAGATTATCATGAATTTTCTTCTGTAAAGATAAATGTTCCAGCCCACTTTTTCCTGCTAATATTACCTTTATGAGGAGATTTATGTTTTTCTGCTTTACTTAAATTGGCTTGGACAGATGACAATGTTTCTCTTTCTTCTGGGTCCTTTCGAGCCTAAGAAAATTTAAAGTGTCAAATGTGACAAGTAACAGGAAAACTACTACCACAAAATATGTTATTAAAATTGACCAAAGTTAATTTTAAGTTTTGATTGTAGGATTAAGGGCCAACTTCCAAGAAGATAATACAATAAATTTCCATTCCTTCATCCCCAAAATCTCTAGGAAAAATGATGCATTTTTTTATGTTTAATTTTACACATGAGGAAACTGATGAAAGGTTATAAAAAATGTATCTATAAAAAAATTATCACAGTTGATCCCAACTTGTAAGAATCGAAGACTTGCTTCTGCTTCTTTTACCTCAATTCTCAATTTGTTTGTGTTAGGTAACTAAAAACTAAAATCTAAACCCAAAAGACTAAATTAAAGAAACAATCCAGAGCTCAAAAGAAGACAGCGCTTTCCCAAAAGAAAAAATAAAATCCACTCTCTCCACTGCTCCCCCAAAATTCCATTCTACAAAGAGGTCACAAACTAGGATACATAACGCAATATTTTTTTTAATAATTATAATTTGAATGCCTTTAAGGTGGAGTAAGGTTTTTTAAATGACAAACTCCCCTCCATTCCTTATTATCTTATACCTGCCTGCTGTTAAAATCTTTTAAAATAGTCAAACATTGATACTGACAATATTAACAGAATGATTCAATGGAAACAAGGCTAATTTTTTGGAGAGAAAGTGCTTAAAAAAAAAAACACTGATGCTTTTAAATATTCCCAAAAATATACTCATTATTATCTGAGACTAGGACTAATACAGATCTTAAAATTAGCTAATTAGAAATAGTAAAATTGTGCTCCCAAAAGTTAACATTTGAGTTATTAAACTTAAGTTCCTTAGCAACATCTGTAAGTGCTATTCTCTGTACAAGTACATAAGAATCCATCTGTGAGAGAGACTGTAAGTAAAAGTTGTAATTCATTATTTTGTGAAGAACGGTTCTGGTTGGCTTTGACTCAATCAACCTTCCTTGAGCAAGAATATGTTTCTCAATGAGCTTCCTCAAAATATTCTTATAAATTAAAATAATTTAGCTTCTTTCTAGAAGTTACTCATGGTTGGTTGTATGTCCAGAGCCTCGAATACACAGGTATGAAAGGGACCACTGATCTACAGTGTATATTCAGAGTGCAAACAAAAGCTGGCTCACACACCACCTTTTTGGTCTTTGGTTCTTCATCCAGCATGGCTAACGTTCTGGCAAACTCTTCATCTTCGTGCAGCTGTCGCTCCAGCTGTAAAAAGTGTCAACACAATGAGTTGCTTTTTCTTTCTGTAAATGAAAGTTTTTAAATGTTTCATACATGATACTTCAAAGTGGAAAAAACACTTTCCAGAAATTACAATATTTTTTCCACTTAATATTCAGTATCACAGATTTGTTTCGTTAAGCCAAATTAGATTTCAGAATACTTATTTCTAGTTTTGCAGGTAAAATAGACAAATTGAGCATATTTTTAAAGTCTCACTTACAAAGTTGAAAGTCTATGGTTTTTTTAAATATAACACAGATCTCTTATTCCATTTTTTTTTTATTTATTTTGAGAGAGAGAGAGAGAGAGAGTAAAAGCGGAACAGGGCCAGAGAGAGAGGGAGAGAGACAGAATCCCAAGCAGGCTCCGCAATGACAGCATGGAGCCCAACACGGGGCTGGAACTCATGAACTATTCGATCATGACCTGAACCGAAAGAGTCGGACGCTTAATCAAATGAGACACTCAGACACCCGCAGGTCTCTTATTTTTATTTATTCTGAATTCTACTAACAGCTCTGAAAACAATCTCATCCATACAGAGAAACAATAGACTGGAGGGCACAAACAAAAAAGTGAATCTAAAAAATAAAGAAAATTATATATTTTCTTTGTATACAATACTATTACATACAAGTGTAACTATCACTTATAATCATCAAACTTCAATTTTCAATTACTAATTCAGATGTATCTCTTCTGACTTTTGAAAATTTATTTCATCATCCTAACATGCTAAAGTAATAGATAGCATGTAGAATAAAGATACTCTACTTGCCTTGTTGTTATTTCCAGTATTTTCATTTGCAGAAAAATGGAACTCTTCCAGAAAAGAATGTGTCGCAGTGGAATACATTTCTCATTTATAATTTTTTATTTTTATTTATTTTTGTTTTTTGAGAGACAGTGTGAGTAGAGGAGGGGCAGAGGAGAGGGGGAGAGAGAATTCCAAGCAGGCTCCACACCCAGCATGGAGCCCGATCCCATGACCACGAGACCATGACCTAAGCCAAAATCAAGAGTTGGACACTTAACTGACTTGAGCCATCCAGGTGCCCCTATATTTCTCATTTATAAACTAACTGGTTTTACGCCCCAGTTTAACAATAAAATAGTTTAATGTAATATCAAACAAAAGCCTCCTTGTATCATTCAAAGGATGGAACCTCCAAATCTACTCAATCCAAAAGAAAAGGCTTTGAAATTGGCAGAAGCCTGATGAGAACACAGTAACCAAGCCTTTTGTTTATAAAATGAACTAATTCAAGCTACACAGAACTGTAAGCAAGCCAGACAGATGCACATCAATATGTTCTGTTACCAAATATTTACTTACTATAACTGAACTAAGCATTTAATTACTAAAAACAATATGAAAAATCTTCATCATAGAAAAGTGCTTCAAATTCTAAACCTCCAGTTGCAGGGATTTCTGGTTGAACTCTACCATTTTCCCCAAATTTCACACTCTATAGTATGCTTCTAGTAAAGAGGATTTGAGAAGCCAGAACAGAAGAAATGAAAATACTCCCATTAGAAATTCATCAGCGGGGGGGGCACTGGGTGACTCAGTCATTTAAGCATCTGACTCTCGATTTCAGCTAAGGGCATGATCCCACAGTGGTGAGACAGAACCCCACGTGGAGCCCCGTGTCAGGCTCCATGCTAGGAGTGGAGCCTGCTTAAGATTCTCTCTCCTTCTCCCTCTGCCCCTCCCCAGCTCACACACAGACGAGTAAATTACCCAAGTAAGGTTCTAAAAGAATGTGACAGCAATGGGAAAACAGGGGCACTGTGATACAAAGTACCAAAGCCAGTTTGGAAAGGATGGGGTAGGTCTCCAGTATTTGAGACAAGAAGCCATATACCTAAAAATTACTTCACCGTTTTAATGAAACCATTTGTGCTACCTTCAGTCATCAGGATTATCTGCTTACAGTCTATGTAATTCAATGTAATCAAATAAGATGGAAAAGATTTTGAAAACACACACTCTGTGTAACTGCCAAATTAATGAAATGTGATCAGACATATTTCAGAAAACTGAAATACTGTTCTCTCACAACAATATTTAACAAGAGCTTTTTCTATGCCAAGCACTAAAATGAACACTGATGTCACAAAAGCAAAATGAAACTAAACAGCCCTGGTGTATGGACTTAAAGCCTATGATAAGAAAACACATAAATAACAATTATAATAAATGTTATTAGTAGCTACAATGGGGTGCAACACAGTATATAGGAGGGGTTTCTAATATAGTTAAGAGAGTATAATAAAATGACACGTAAGCTAATAAACAGGAAGGGGGTTCAGGCATCAGGTATCAAGGTCTGGAGCCTTTGATAGAGATGAACACTCTTCTTTGAAATATTTTCTTTGTTTGGCTTCCAGAAAATAACAAACTTTCTTGATTTTCCTACTTCACTAGCCACTTTCTTAAATCCCCTTTGTTAGATCATCCTCCTTCTCTTCCTGACCTCTAAATTTTAACAGTACCCTAGTGTTCAAACCTGAGACTTCTTTTCTGTTTACATTCTCTACCCATGATCTTATCTGGTTACACTGGTTTCAAACACCATTCAAATGCTAATGATCCAAATATACATCTTCAGTTTAGACCTTTCCCCTGAGCTCCAGATTCTTCTATCCAAACGCCTACTCTGCATTTCCATGTGGAAGCCTATTAGGCATCTCAAATTTAACATGTCCAAAACAAAATTCTTTATTTCTTTGTACCAGTGTTCATCTTAATAAATAATATCACCATTCATCCAGTTACTCAAGCCAAAAAACTGGGAATCCTCTTTGCATCTTCTCTTTCCCCCACACCTTACACACAATCTGTCGGCAACAACTGAAAGGTTGCACCTTCAAAGCACATAAAGATTTCATGACCACTTCTCACTACCCCTGGTACAAGCCAACTTCTCTCACCTACTCAACCATAAGAGTCTCCAAACTAATCTTTTGTTTTTGCTCCACCATGGTTTATTAGCCTCCCAGCAGCCAAAATAATTTTCTTTTAAGATCCATCAAATCATGTCACTTCTGTATTCAACACTCCAATGGCTTCTAATCTCACAGAGACTAAAATCCAAAATCCTTACCATTTCTTTTGGTAGGTTCCAAAGACTTGTCATGACTTACAGGATTTCCAAATGCATCAAACTCAAATGTTTCCACCTCAAGAAAACTACTTGCTTTTCTCTGTTTAGAAATCTTCCTCCAGGTAGTCAGTCCCATGCCTCACCATTATCACTTCATTTTGTTCCCCAATGTCACTTCCTCACAGGGGCCTTCCTAACCCCTCTATTTAAATAGAACACTCATAATCCCACTGATCACCCCAAAACTATCTATCCTTTTACTTTTCTTCACAGCAGTTATAATGATAGGACATTTTTTTTTAACTGCAGTATCCTTAACACTTAGAACTGTGCCATGCACTCAGTACGAGCTCAATAAATACTTGTTGAATGAATATAAAAAGTTTACAGCTCACGAGAGCCCTCTGAACTGGAACAGATTTAGGGGTCATCAGCATATACATAGTACTTTTAGCCACAAGAGTGGATGAAATTGCCCATAGTGAAAAGGAAAAAGATATGACCAAATTAAATTATTTTAACTATACTAAAGGAGGCTTCCACTCAAAGAAATCTAATAATAAATCTTTAATTATCTCCTACTCTCATCATTTATCTTTTACATAAATTTAGAATTTTAGGGGTGCCTGGATGGCTCAGTTGGTTAAGCATCTGACTCTTGGTTTCAGCTCAGGTCATGATCTCGCAGTTTGTGAGTTGGAGCCCCCCCATCAGGCTCTGGGCTGACAGTGTAGAACCTGCTTGGGATTCTCTCTCTCCCTCTCTCTGCTCTTCCCCTATTCACTCTCTCTGTCTCTCTCTCAAAAATAAAAATACACTTTTTAAAAACTTTTTAAAATAAATTTATATTTTTATATATTAGATTTTAACTTATTTTACACATAACTCTTACAATGAGAGTCAATTCAAAATTAAACTAGAACAATCCTGATCATTTGGCCTGAGTACACTAAACAGCAAGGCACAACATCAAGCTGTTAATGATACCGAAATAAATGTCAATACCTCTGCATCTTCATCAAATTGCAATTGCTTGGCGATGGCTTCATCATTTAATCTGGAATCATCCACATTTTGTGAAGGCTATATTTCAAAGATAATCAAGCAAGATCAGATAAACCTTAAGTTAGAAATAAAGTACTTTTTCTCGACTGTAGCTAATTAAATACACCAATGAGCAATAAATTTATCAGTTATAAAATAGTCTCAATGCACACCAGCCAGAAGATTATGTTCATAGCTACTCCCTGACCACATGCAATTTCCTAATGAGCAAATATCCTACAAACAGATGGTTCTCACTTAATTCTACTGTAATGTTCAAAAGAAGTAACCCCAAAAACCTGCAGACTAACATCTTGGCTTCAGAAATAGTCCAGAACATTGGCAAACCAGTATGTGTGACTGGTTACATTTGTCCTACAGAGGCACTAATGCAATCAACAAACACACATCATTTGGCAGGCTTTAACTCAGGAGACTATCTTCACTGTAATTTATGTGTATTTGTTTCCTAAATGTTCAGAAGAAAATGATTCCAACATCAGCCAAAGTAGAAAGATCAAAAGTATAACACAGGTAAGCTCTGTTTATAAGTTATATACTTACGACCTCACTTGGGAACAAACTTATTGTCCAATTTTGTCTGGCTGAAAGTCAAAGGCAAAGTGAGTTTGCATTCTCTCTCTCTCTCTTTTTTTAATATTTACTTACTCTTGAAAGAGAGAGAGAGAGAGAGAGAGAGAGAGAGACACTAAGCAGGGAAGGGGCACAGAGAGAGAGACAGAGAGAGAGAATCCCAAGCAGGCTCTGTGCTGAGAGCACAGAGCCCAGTGCAGGGCTCAATTTCACAAAGCATGAGATTATGACCTGAGCCAAGATCCAGAGTTGGAAGCTTAACCAATTGAGCCACCCAAATGCCCCAAGTTTGCATTCTGAGTATTTAAATTCTAAGCATTTCAATTTATTCCTATGATTTAAATGATCTTTTCCCACTTTCATATACAAAAAAATAAATGTGTAATATGCTAAATTCCTTATCCTCTAAAATGATGGCAGTATGTTTTATCCATAATCACAGGAAAATTATTTTCATTAAGAAAATATGCTGATCAATTTACAACATCCAAATTTCTTTTATTAATAACAATAAAGGGGTACAAATCCTGAATATTCTTGCTTGAATGCCGAACACTCACCTCTTTTCTTTTGCTTGCTACCATCTTCTTATCTGATCGTTGGACACTTCCGGTTCCAAAATAATCAAGCACTGATGTGGGGGTAAGTTTTATTGGTGATAAAGGCTTATTCTTGGTCTTAGTGTTTTCTTCATTCTTTTTCTTATTCGATGCTCCAAGGTAACTATTTGTAGATCTTCCATTCTCTTTTGATTTAGAGGCTGCCTTCTTACACATAAAGTCATCTTCTTCATCTTAAATGGAATATAACCAAACATTACTTAATAAAACATTGATTCTAATTATATAAAGCAACCACTTCCACCAGCTTTATAAAAACTACTCTAGAGCTATGGAAGGCTAATGATTTGTTTCTTCCTATCTCCTAAATTCAACAGTCATCCTTACATTTACCACTGCCATATATGTATTAAACCATTTCCACCAGTTACCACCCCAGAGGACACAAATAGATTTATTTACTCATGTTTTCAACAAATATTTACAGAGTATCCATTATGTGCTGGCACTGAGGACACCTACAGTGATACAGTGAATTAAAAAGACAAAATCCCTGCCTTCATGGAGCTTGGAGTCTAGAAGAGGAAACAGATATACAAGTAAACATATGCTGTCAAATTATAATTGCTATAAAGAAAAAGTAAAACAAGATGAAACAATTCAAGAGCAATGAGGGGGGTGCTCTTTCAGATATGGTCATCAGGGAAAGCCTCTTTGATAGGCAACATTCAAATAGAGTCTGGAAATGAAGATACCTCAGGCAATGAAAACTCAAGAGCAAAAGGCTTAAAGTGAGTGAGCTTGAAGGTCACTATGACTGCAGCATAATGAAAGGGATACATCACTAGAGTTTCAGTGAGAGAGGGAGGGGTCAAATCATGTGGGATCATGGAAAGAATGTTAGGTTCTATTTCAGAATGAGAATCCACTGGAGAATTTTCAGCAGAGTAGTGAGTGATCCAACTTAAGTCTTATCCTTTGGAGAACACACCATCAAGCGGAAAAAAACAAATGCAGGAAGACCATTTTGGAAGCTCCGGTTGTTCCAGAAGAAATGGTGATGCCTTGAACTAGAGTTATTTGCAGAGGTAATAAGAAGTCGTCAGAGTCTAGCTCTATACTGAAGGTGGACTGTCCAGCAATATCTAGCCATTCATATAAGACTTTAAATACTTTTTTTGGTTACGTTTTATCTTTCTTTTAAAAAGTTCTCATTAAACATCTAGTTTAAAAGTCTTTCTAAGCTTTCTAATCTTTCTAAAATGCTTAGATACAACAATGTACCTCAGAAAGGCCTAAAAGACATGGGGTTTTTTTTTGGTTCAGTGATTCACAAGATAAAAAGCTCTTTTCATTGGCCATTACCAATAACAAAAGAAATCCAATAGAAAAATCTAAAAGGCAATTGTGAAGACCAGGTCACTGTATGGGTGGGAGAGTTCACTTTATAAGTCTGATGTGCAAGGCCACATATAGGTGAGTCACTTCCTCTCAAGTACTCCCTCATTCAACCAAGAGCATTTGCCATGCACTGTGCTATTCCTACGTGGTTGCCACCTCAAAGAGGAACGTACCCACAATATGTAAAAAAAATCAAAAAGGATTAAAGGCTTACTTTCTAATTATTGTTTAAAGTTTATTATTTGAGGGGCGCCTGGGTGGCGCAGTCGGTTAAGCGTCCGACTTCATCCAGGTCACGATCTCGCGGTCCGTGAATTCGAGCCCCGCGTCGGGCTCTGGGCTGATGGCTCAGAGCCTGGAGCCTGTTTCCGATTCTGTGTCTCCCTCTCTCTCTGCCCCTCCCCCATTCATGCTCTGTCTCTCTCTGTCCCAAAAATGAATAAACGTTGGGAAAAAAAAAAAAAAAATTAAAGTTTATTATTTGAGAGAGAAACAGAGCACACGCATGCCCACAAACAGAGGAAGGGCAGAGACAGAGAGGGACAGAGAGAATCCCAAAGAGGCTCTGCACTGTTGGCACAGAGCCCAACATGGGGCTCAATCTTAGGAACCATGAGACCATGACCTGGACCATGATCATGAGCTGAGCTGAGATCAAGAGTCAGATGGTTAACCAACTGAGCCATCCAGGTGCCCTACTTTCTAATTATTATATTTATACTAAAATGAAACTACAGAGGTGCCTGGGTGGCTCAGTCAGTTAAGCGTCCAACTTTGGATCAGATCACAGTTCCAGCCTGGCATCGGGCTTTGTGCTGACAGCTCACAGCCACCTACCGCAGATTCTGTTGTCTGTCTGTCCCTCTCCTGCTCACACTCTGTCTCTCTCTCAAAATATAGACATTAAAAAAAAAAAAAAAAAAAAAAAAAAGTAACCCACCACTTAAAGCAAATTCTCTACAAATGAATTGTTCACTACAAATTTCCAAAGAATTTACATTTCACACTACCCTCCGAGGGCCTGGATAATCATGAATAAATTTATAAAATGGCTCCATACTCCTCGCCACCAACAACTGGACCAGGAGTGGACACTTGATCAAGATGGGGGCCAATCTTACCCTTGATCAGTTTGCTAAACTGACATATTTACACTAAAGTGTTAAGGTTCATTCCTGCATTCAGAGAGAGACAATAGCTTAACAAATTGCATTTTGCTTACAATAACCTACGTTTTTCACGATAAGCAGGTTTTAACCTGCAAGCAAAAGATTTTACTTAAAGCATACTTGTTTTATTTATCCTCAACTATAGTCAATCTACCTTCAAGCTTAAAATTTTCATTTGTAAACTTTTCTAAGCACATCCAAGGCTTTATATACTTAGATTTCAGTTTAACCATTGTTAACAAGAGTCAGCCAGCTGACCAGGTTCAGTCACTCACATATCTGTTCTCCCCACCTGACAATAGGACCTTGTCTGTCACTGCCAGATGTGGGAAAAGGTGTCTGATTCAGATGGTTTTGCAAAGGAGAGGTGTCATTATCACCATTCCACTAAAGTACAACAGCCACGATAATCACCCATAATAGTCCTGATAACCACTAAGAATGTAATTTGAAACTCTTTTCTTTTTCTCTAAGATAACAACGTAATGAATTGTTATATTACAGAAACCCAAATAATATTTTATAATTTAGGGGCGCCTGGATGGCTCAGTTGGTTAAGTGTCCAACTTCGGCTCAGGTGATGATCTCACGGTTCGTGAGTTCAAGCCCCGCATTGGGCTCTGTGCTGACAGCTCAGAGCCTGGAGCCTACTTCAGATCCTGTGTCTCCCTCTCTCTCTCTGCCTCTCCCCGGCTCAAGTTCTGTCTCTCTCTCTGTCTCAAAAATAAACATTAAAAATAATAATAATAATATTTTACAATTTATAGCTGGTTTATTTTAAACCCCTAGACTCAGTTAAGCTGTAGCATAACCAAACCAGTGGCATTCAACAAACTATTCTACTTAGCAGTCAAAAAAATATTATGCAAATTATGCAAAGTGCCCTTAAAAGAAGATTCAAAACAAGACCAACACTGCTGATACCCTGGCTTTAATTTAATAAAAATAACCACAACACTGGAATCTACAAAGTGTAGACAACCAATACATCTCCCTTAGAGAGTAAGTGCAAAATTAAAAACATATTGTTTTTATAATATGTATATATAAGTGTATATAAGACTTCTAACCTCATCTGAGAGCTTATTAAATTTTATAATTTTCACTTGGTGAAATTTTCACTTTAAGTTCAACAGCTGTATTTCTGGGCACGAGGGATTACCTTAATGAAGAAAGAACAAAATTACATTGTCTCTGCAAAATGATAGTCCTCTACTAGATCCCCCTTTCCCCACTTTAAAAATGCCAAAAGCAGTAACATTCCATTTCCACTACACCCAGCCATGCTAATAAGCAGCATAACAAAAAATCCCAGAATTAAATGGACCATGTCAATCACTGTTCTTCTGTTACAGTTCTTCCCTAATTACTCAAGAACTTCCTCACTATCTAAAATGTTGTATTTGTCTTTAAGAACTCACTTCAGACAAGATCAATCACTGCTATTTGGTATAGCCCCAGAAAGGGAAACAATGGTATTGTAGACACTTGCAATCCCTAGTTTAACCCTTTCTCCAGCAATCTCATAAATATTTACAGCTAACAGGTTAACATGAAATTTAGTGAGATCAAAAATTTCTAAGATTATCACATTAAAAAGACTGTTAGCAAGGGTGTAAGGAAATGGGACTTTCACATACATAACAAGCAATGGTAGTAAGTTGTTTAAAATCTATAGAAGACAGTTTTGCAATATGTACCAAATCCTTACAAATGTATACCCATTAATTGGACCCAGTAATTCCACTTCTATGAATTTAGCCTTCAATAAAACAAATGTCTTCAAGCTATAGATCCAGAATGTACTATACCCAAACAGACACATTTTTTAAAATATTTTCATAATTTCTGAATAAAAATGTAATTACACATGGATTTTTTAAAAAATATATGGAGGGCTCCTGAGTAGTTTAGTCGGTTGAGCATCTGACTCTTGATTTCGGCTCAGGTCACAATCCCAAGATTGTGGGATAGAGCACAATCCCAAGATTGTGGGATAGAGCTCTGTGCTGGGCTCTGAGAGTGCTTAAGATTCTCTCTCTCTCTCCCTCTCTGTGTCTCTGTCTGTCTGTCTGTCTCCCTCTCTCTCTCTCTCCCCCCGCCGCCCCCCTCCTTCACTCTCTCTCTAAACTAAAAAAAAAAACAAAAAACAAAAAACGATTTTAAAGCTAGAAGTGTTCTGAATAAAATTTCAAGTATTTTATATCGTACTAGCTAAAACTGCATACAAGGCCCCTTTTTCTGTACTAACCACAAAATAAATAGCTCTACAATCCCCTTGGAAAGTAGGAGAAATTCTAGTGAAATACAGTCACGAAAAGAGAAAAAAGACTGGCTTGCCTGATTTGACACTTACTTAGTACTCCATGATTTATGCACTTCCCAATAATATTCCTTACAGTTATGGGAAAAGCTAACACCAAAAAAAAATAAACTCATGATCCTAAGCATAGGGGTATTTCCTATAAACACAGAGGATCATCAAGGAGAATACAGAAAAAAAAAAAAAATATGGTGTTCTATAAACTAATAGGCATATCTGAAAGCATTCTGTCATCTTACCTTGATAAAGGCAGAAAACCTGCAGAAAGCAGCAGTGCTATGTCTTTGTACTAGGACTTCTGAACTAGTTGTCTTAAAACTCCTATAGCCTTTAGTATTTC